TCCTTTTAAAGGTACGTAGGCAGCTTAGATATTTTCTAAGTTCAGTCATGAATTATGTTCGTCTTCTAAGTTAGTCAATTTTGGTTGATTGGCCGAGAAAATGAAGTGCAACAAATGGTAATGATTGAGATTGCATGGTGTGAAGAGAAACAAATCATTCTATTCCATAACTTTGAAGTCATATTACATGAAAAAATGAATAAAAGAGTCGCAAACATGCCTAAGCAAAAGGGTTCAAACATCCTAGCTTCTCTTTAGCCGCCTTCAAATTTGACTTCAACATCTTCAACTGTTCAGCCACTTCTTCATCCAACGGTGGAGCATTGCTGATGACAAGGATCTCCTCTTGAGTTAATTTCACCTTGGCCTTGGCACTATCGAGTGACTCATGTTGCTGCTTCAATGTCTGGGATAATGTTTCTGCCTTCGTCTTCAACTGCTCAAGCTCTTCCGTGACTCGCTTTAGCTCAGCCTGAGTGGACTTCACTTGATTCGATTCAATATCCTCCTCCGCCTTATGTTCACGAAGACGGTCTTTAGCTTCAGCCAACTGTCGAGCAATATGTTCCTTCGTTGCCTTCTCTGAAGATTTTGACCGCACTCCGTCATAAAAGTCGGCATTGTCAAACAAGACCTTCAACGGGCTCTCGATGGTGGAAAAGTTGAACTTGTCACATTTCTTCATGGCATTGAAAACAAGTGATACGTCTTCTTTTATGGAGGACAAGGAGTCGATAGGAGTCGCCATGACCTTGTCTCGGAGGTCGTACCACATGTCTTGAAGATACTTCTTTTGGCGGTCAAGAAGGAACTTCTCCCCTTTGAACTCGGAAATGGCTGGAGTATGAAGCTTTTGATCAGCAGCAAATTTTTTGGCACACGTTGGAACATTTGCTGCAGAAGTCCTTTCATCGTCTTACGACTCCTCGTCATCATCAGAACCAAAGACATCTCGTCGCACCTTAAAAACAACAATGGAATACATATATCAATTAGAAAGAGAACTCGAGATAGAAGTAAGTAAGAAGAGATAGAAAACCTTAGCCATGAGGTCATCTGTCTCGTGTTGATTCTCTATCGCTTTCTCAACATGTTGCTGGGAACCAGATTGCTGCTTTGCTCTCTTCCAATGTTGATCTGCATTGCTGCTCCCTTCTAAAGAGGTGGACCTACTCCTTCTCTTGTTGGTCTCAGGAACTCTGGCAAGAAGCGCCTCATGATCTCCACTTGTAGAATCACCCTGGTCAACAACTGGCTCTTTGCCTCTCGAAGATATCATGTTCGGCTTTGATGCAAGCAAATCCTCTATATGGCGCTCAAGATAGCCTCCGTGAACTTGTTGCCACCACGACTTATAAGCTTGTGTTGATTTCTTCGGATCTGGAGATACGCAAGGCAACGAAGCTTTGGATGAGGATCCGCATAGAACGTTTTGCTGCCAATAGTAAATTCCGTCGTCAAGAGAGACCTCGCGGAAGTCTTTTTTCAAAGTACCAGGAACATCTTGATAAAACCCAAATTGGCGACTGAAACGATGAGGACTATATGGCTCAATGAAAAAGCGATTGCCTTGGCGCCATGTAAGGTATTTAGACCGAATCGCCGTGAAATACCTCCATTCGTATCTAGGCCTTCGTTGATCATCAACGTACCGGGAAGTCTGGTCCTTGATGATGATATTGCAAGTCCATGAAGCGGAGTCCCCCTTGTGGATACGTCTACGGGCTTCCTCAGGGACAAAGTGTCTTGCGCCATTTTCACCGGAATATGTCACCATCAAGGATTTGTGCGTTTGACCAATTGTGAAGTGAGTTTTAAAGTAAAGCGCCAGCCAGCTATAAACGAAGTGGAAGGGAAATGTCGATCGAGATGGACTTTTGCAGCTTGTAAGCTCGTTCGGCCCTTTGTAGATGCTCGTTAAGACCGGAACTGCGAGGCCGACTATACAACCCTTGGCCATCATACTTGCCATCTTGAAGGTGCCTGGGCGAATTATGTCGATGTCGTCATTGGGGAGGACGAACGTGCATATCCAACATGAGAGATACGCCGCCAAGTGAATTTCTTCTTGCAGCTTCAACTCGATCACAGCCATCTTCTTGAACAATTGATC